GACTGACCTAGGGTGAATTTTAAATAGGGATAATTTTTAATGATTTTAATAAGAGACACAGCTACAAATATTTGGTTTTTAATTGGCTTTTATTGGGGAAATGTATTATGTTGTTTTAATATGCTGTGAGCCGCCCTGAGTCCCGTGGGGAGAAGGGCGGCATATAAGTCTTAAAAATAAATAAATAAATAAATAAATGTGTACAATGAGATTGGCTGAGCCTCCCTTCATGCACCCCCCCATCACAACTCACAATGACAACAAACACACAATCTTATTACACCATGTGAACGTATTGCACAACGCGCCGGCCCCGCAAGTCTATCATACATGGAGTTACTTTCCATTCAGGAGTCTGACAGCCCATGGGTAGAAACTGTTCTTCAGCCTGTTGGTGTAGGGCTGGCTATGCTTCTATATCTCCTACCCGATGGTAGGAGAGTAAAGAAGTGCTGACCAGGGTGTGAGTCGTCCCTGAGGATTTTCCTCACTCTTCTAAGGCAGCGGGCCCTAGCGATGGCATCTAGTGGTATCAGAGGATGTTTTGTGCTGTGCTCACCACTCTTTGTAGTGTCTTTCTATCCGTGCCTGTAAAGCCAGCATACCACACCATAATGCAATGTGAGAGGATGCTTTCTATAGTGGACCGGTAAAAGAAGGTCATCAGTCGTTGTTCCACTTTGTTCTTTCGCAAGACCCTAAGGAAGTGGAGTCTCTGTTGGGCCTTTCTGGCCACCTGGGTTGTGTTGATTTTCCAGGTGAGATCTTCACTGAGGTAGACTCCCAGGAATTTAAAGGAGGAAACTCTCTACACACACACACACACACACACACACACCATGTAAAGCTAAGACACAAAGGCAATGAATTAAACAGAATCAGCACAAAGGCCCAGCCTTTTCTTCCCTTTTCATGAGGATAGCAAAGGATTGCAACTTTGCCCTAAATGTCTGAGCTAGCTGTGGAAAACAAGTTACAAACACTCAGCAAAGTCAAACGAGAATACTGTTGGCGAGCAAAGGGTTAAGCCTTCAGTCCCACCCACCAACATCATCCTGGGTAATCAGGAAGAAGAGTAAGATGGAACAACAGGAAAGCCTCAGTGTATTGGAGAAGTTGGAACAGGCTAATCTTCCTACTTAAATGGCCAATATTTACATGCAGGGACTTCATTTATCCCTACAGGCAGTCTTTGCTTAACAATGGCAACATAATGACATTAGTTCCAGCACTTTCAATTACCATTAAGCGAATCTCTCAACACTGTTAGGCATGATGTCACACGATCACCATTTTCCTGCCAGCTTTCCCACTGTTGGAAGCTGGCAGCACAAATGGGATCGTGTCACCGCGGGGCACTGCAACCATCATAATTGCAAGCTGGTTGCCAAGTGCCAAAATCAATCACATGACTGCAAGGATGCTGTAATGGCTAGAACTTTTGAGGATTAGTCCGTAAGTATGACTTGCTCAGCTTCGGTATAACTGAACAGTCACTGAATCAGGACTAATCAAAGAACTACCTGTAAAAGGAAGATTGTTCTACTGTGATTCTCACTTTCTTTTAAGCACACTAAAATGGTACCATCCAACCCCATGTGATACCATCCAACTAATTCAATAATCCAGTTGTTCCTTGCAAGGGGTCATTCCTATTGCTATTGACTTGTCATAAAGACCTTATATTCATGTATCTATGATGTGAAATTGGGAGTAAATCTACAGGTATCTCCTTTGACACCTGCCAGTCCTCCTGCCCTATCTGACTTATTGCACCCTTTGAGAAAAAACAACTAGTCCTTAAATTTCTTAAAAAAGGGAAATGTAAAAAGAGATGTAAAAAAATATGTAAAGCACCAGCCTCCGGTATTATCTTTATTTCCAGAATATTTCTAGATCCTATAGAGATCCTATAATTTTTATTAGAAAGTAAGGATGATAGAAGGCTACAGTTCAGAACTTCATCTGAAATTCTACTAGCTGCCAAGAATAGTAAGAAAAATACATGGCCGTATCAGGGAAGAGAGTGTAGAGCAGTGATGGCGAACCTTTTAGAGACCGAGTGCCCAAACTGCAACCCAAAACCCACTTATCACCGGGTGCCAGGTGGGCGTGGCCCACTGGGTGGGCGTGGCTGTGGTGGTCATGGCAGACTGGGTAGGTGTGGCCAAGGTGGGCGTGATCACCTCAATGTTGCTCGTGGGGAGGGACGCCTCTGGGGGCCGGGCAGGGTTGGAGGAGATCCACGGGGTCTCTGGCAGGTGGGGCGGTGGGCAGGAGGCTCGTCCTGTGGGGTGAGGCAAGGTGAGGCGAGGCAGGGTGGGGGTGCCATTGTCACAGGTCAAGGTGAGGCAGGGGCTGGGGCGGCTGCTGCCTGACACCATCGGCCCCTGCACACAGAGGCCAGCGAGCACATGGGTGCTGGGATGCATCCAGCCATGTGGGACCTTGGCAAGTTAGCGGGCAGCTGGTTGAAGAGGGACAGTTGCCATCTCCGGGGAAAGGTGTGCATGCCCACAGAGAAGGCTCTGAGTGCCGCCTCTGGCACGTGTGCCATAGGTTCGCCACCACTGGTGTAGAGGATAAGATACACAGCTAAAAATCTGATGCTTTGTAATGTCACCAAGGTAGCCACTTTGTCTGAGACAGCCAACAACATCCTTGCAAAATTCCAAATAAATTGGCGGTCCCTGTTATGTAAGGAAACTTACTTGTCCCAAGCCTGTCGTTCTTCATCGTTAAATGGAACCACCATCTTAACCTGTTCCTGGTGAGAAAGGAGGAGGTTGGCGTATTGCACAACACAGTGGATCCAGGGGTCTCCACTAGCTGTCAAACCGTGGAGGTGCTTCTTCCTCATTTCCTCTGCTTCAGCTGAGTCTCCCAGGGCAGGCATTATGTTCAAATGCTGAAGCAAACTGCAAAGAAAATAGCAATTAAAAAATTGCTCTACCATACAAGACTCAATGCTGAATTTCAAGCTGATGCTAATACGTGCTTCAAAATGTTCAAATACTGCCATGTGATTTTTCTTCTGATCTAAACATTCTTGGTTCAGGAATAATAAAAGAGCCATTTTCTCCAACAGAGAATTCTATAATCTTACTCACCCTCCATTTTTATATTTCCATTGGTCATTATGTACATTACTGGATGAGCGGGGAATAGTTCTGTTCTTTTAAAACATTATTTTTGTATTTCATATACCCTAAGACTAGCACATATCATCTTTCATCTTTCAGGGACCTCATTTTTTGCCACAGTATTCTTGACAATTACTACTTCAACTCACTATGAGAAGGAATGAATGTACTTCTCCTGGTTTTATAATTGTTGTGTCTTTACTATCATCTATGGTCATTGTTTACACATTTTATGAGCTGTGGTGGTGCAGTGGTTAGAATGCAGTATTGCAGGCTGAGTCTGCTGATTGCCAGCAGTTCGATCCTCGTTGGCTCAAGGTTGACTCAGCCTTCTAGCCTTCCAAGGTCAGTAAAATGAGGATTGTTGGGGACAATAAGCTGACACTGTAAACCGCTTAGAAAGGGCTGTAAAGCACTATGAAGCAGTATATAAGTCTAAGTGCTATTGCTATTGCTATTATACTCTATGTTTCCACATAGCAGAATACTCAATAGCTAAGAACAATATCCAAAACTACAAATTGAAAAGATTCTAAAACCTCATGCTGTGTCATTAAAAAATTAAATCCAAAACACCTTTGTACATTTCTGTAACATACATGTCCTGCTTTTCCTCCCTAAGTTTTCCTCCCCACAACCGAATTGTGAAACAGATCAGTCAGGGAGTGATTGCCCCAAAGCCACCCACTGATCTTCATGGCTCAGTGGGATTTTAAAACCTCTTCCCAGCCCTAACACAACTCTTTTACATTTTAAAATACCCAGTAATATCAGTCTTCCCAGTGACCCAAGCAAGACAAAAACCACATTTGATACCTGAAAAATGAGTCTGCAGCTACTCTTCGACACTGTTCATTCAGAGGTACCATAGGAGAACTTTTTGTTTCTGTTATCTTCGGGAATTGTTTCTTGGTCTCAAAAAAAGCATGAAAAAAGCAGAATCTGGAAGAGTGAGAGTCTTCATTAAAAGAAATTAGTCGTAATTAAATTAAAGAGAAACAGCTCCTACTATGTGATCTGCCATGCAATGTTTAATCATGGTTGGTTGTGAATAAATAAACCAGCTGGATTTACTCAGCCCTCAGCCATATTTCATGGTTTGTAAACCACACGTGTTAAACCCAAATCAAACAGACGTCCTTAGAACTTAATCCAATCCAAAAAAACTTGTCAGAATCTCTAAAGACTTGCTAGGGATACAAAAATACTGAGTTTTGTTTGGAAAACTCGTTTCATATCCTCATTTGTTGTAAGCTAGAAACCAGAACAAAAATATCCATCCTGCAAATGAGACAGTTTGTAACAGAGGCTGACAAAATAATGGCCAAAGCTGCACAGCACTGAAGATGTTCCCAAAATGTGTCCAGCATTCCCTAAAATTAAATGATGTAAGATAAAAATGATCAAACGCTCACAAGATCATTAAACCTTGTCAGTTTGCAGCATTTATACAGCAGCTCTTTCAAGATCCTGGGGATGAAATCATTTAAACCTTATATGATTTACAAGTATGCAAATGTTGACCATTTTTTAGAAAACACGTATTACTGCCCACTTTAGGTGCCTAAAACTAAAAAAAGCTGCCAAATAGAGAAATTAGATTCTGTTTATAGCATCTTATTTAGGAGAGTGAAAACACAGCCAGCTTGAAAAAATCAGTTTTTAGTTTCTTTTTTCCGTAATTTTCACATTTTGTCCGTGACTTTTCTTTGAATCTTAGCCAATAAAATAATAGAAATATTTAAAGCCAACTGTATCCTGACAAGGAGAAATGACACGTGCCTGGCTGAGGAATTCTGGGAGTTGACGTCCACAAGGCATAAAAGGGCCAAGTTTGAAGACCCCTGATCTACAAGGTTACCATTGTTACTTTTTTGACCGCTACTCAACTCCTCTAAATGCACCTAGCCACTCATGTTGTTTCCTTTACCTGCAAATGTCCATAACAAGCTCATCCTCCTTGTTGACCTGCGGGTGTTCGGCAATTCCGATGAGGCGGCCGATGATCCATTTCCTTAGGCGTGTGATGCTGTGGTCACTTACGCTGATCAATCAAAAGAGAGCAGCACAATGACATTAACAGCTCTTCCATGTTATCATGTATTTCTTTAAAAATCTTAAATATATTGCCCGTCCTCGAGCACCTGCCTAAGCAATTTTAATACTTTATAATAATTTGATACCATGAAAAAGATAATAAAGCCTACAGGACAGCAATGAAGCTAACATCTATTATCTCCTTTAATTATACAAAAGAGTAACTATTAATAATGGGCCGTATTATGGGGCTTGGTTTTAATGAACCATTTGGGGAAAGGGGCATCTGGTACTCTCAAATGTTCATCACAGTGATTTACAATATTTTCATTATCTTACCTAATTTGCATAATAGTATCCTTACACAACTGATGCCAATATCCCAATTGTAAAATTAAAATTAAATTAATGTACATTTAACTGCTCAGTTAGATTATTTCAGATGCAACTGACTTGTCCATTAGTTTGGAGGATACTTGGAGAGAAATATAGCTCATTATATCCAGAGTCTACTAACTAAAAGTCTGTAAATTGAGGTTTTATTACCTTATACCAAATGCTAAGAGGGATAAAATTCAGGCAACTGTATTGAAACTGGGGCACAGTGTGTTAGATCAGTGGTTCTCAACCTTTTTAATGCCGTGACCCCAACCGGTCGTAAGTCGAGGACTAAACCGGTCGTAAGTCGAGGACTAAACCAGTCGTAAGTCGAGGACTACCCAACCGGTCGTAAGTCGAGGACTTTCCCTGCCCAGGAGCGCCGCGCATGCGTGGTTCCTCCCCCTGCATCGGCCGAGGCGTAGCTGGCAAGCGGCAGAGACGGAGCAGGCCGACCACCAGCTGGCCCAGCCCAAGGGAGGTAAGGCACCCGCCAGAAAAGGGGAAAAAATGGCGGACAAAAAAAATGGCGGACAGCCTTGCTTGGCGACCCCCATGAAATGGTCGATCGACCCCAAATGGGGTCCCGACCCACAGGTTGAGAACCACTGTGTTAGATAAAGCTACAACCTTCAGCCAAGCTTTCCAAATGCTGCCTATTCTGCAATGAATACTTTCCAACCATCCCAAAGGGAAAAAGAGACTCACCCACTCGTTGTCTTCTCGTTCTGCCTCTTGGTGGCAAAATCCACACAGCAGTCCAGGTTTGGATTGAGAAACATGTTCTTCAGCCAGTCGATGTACTTTAGCAGAGCAGTGGGAAGAAGATGCCTCACCACTTTCCAGAAAGTGGGCACAACTGGATAACCTTGGTTGGTGAGCGTAGAGAAGGCAACCATCATTGCCAGCTGCTTCTCAGGGCTGGTGCATCCCTCTAGGAACAAGTCAACGTAGAAGTCCATCTCTGGGGCAAATTTAAACCTGTCAGGCAGCTGAAATACACAGATGGGTGAAGACTACCAAGAGGGCTATGGCTTAATGACTAAAGATTCCAATATGAGCATTCATTCATTCATATTCATATTCCAATATGAGCATTCATTCATTCATTCATTCACTTTCATGCATTTATAAGGCTACCCAACTCAAGCAGGGTTACACTTTGGGCAATGTGTAACAAAAATAAACAATGACAAAAATAACTCCATATCATTGAAACACACAGACACACACAGACACAAGTGTGTTTGTAATGGTGAATAAACAGGATAAATGAACAACTAAAAGGGGACTCCACTCAAGTGGACCTGAATGCTGTGGGAAAAGATATCCTAACAGCTTTTCTAAAAGGAAGGAGAGAACCATTGTCAAAACAAGTAGAAATATGCCCTATATATCATCTGGTCCCCAAATATTTTAGACTATAATTCTTATAATCTCTGTATCACGCTAGCTGACAATTATGGGAATTACAAACACACATTCCAACAAAGCTGGCTAGTAAAACAACTCTGACTAAAATGACCTAACTAAAGCAGTTCCCTTAGGCAAGATGCATAGTTCTTGGCAAGGCTCTATGTTCAATCCTCAGGTACACCAAAAAAAGGACACATCTAATGGAAACTAGAAGAGCAGCTGTTCACCAACAATAGCCAGTCAGACCAATGGCCTGGCCGAGTAGAAAGGAAACTTCTTATCATCAAAATTGAAGCCCATTGAATAAAAAGCCAATTTTCATAAAATGAAAAAACAGTTCCCACATCAAACTCACTGCTATTTAGGTTTTCTAAATAGCAATGGGAACAGGTTGTTTTTCAGTTAAGTTCAGTTAATTCCTTCATGAAAATATTCTTTCTGTTTCATGAAAACCAGCCAGTTATAGAAGAGAATCTACAGTTCCAAGCTAGGAATTTTTACAGCCATTGAATGGAAGTAGTTGCCAGTCAGTAGCAGATGTTTATCTACTTGGTTTACAAAGACCACAGGAAACCTGTTCAGTGACACAATGATGTCATTAGCAGGAGGAACATTTGACCCTTTTGAGCAGGATTTGTGGCAGGTAAAGGTGGAAACAAATCTGCCTCACTTGAAGACTGAATTCACCCTTTTCAATCTTTATTTTTCTAGGTCTCTCTATTGAAAGTCAGAAATTTTGCCACTGATCTCAGGTTTCTGGGTACCAACTTGTGGTCAGTTGTCCATCACAATCTCTGTTCTTCTCGCTGAGATTCTGTGAATGGGACATGCTGAGGACTGAACCTGGGATATTCTACCTACAATTTTAAATCTCACTGAGATCTTGCAACAACGTATTTACCTTACTTGTGACAACGTGGAAGCCATACTGACGCATAGTTTCACCTTGAAGAACCATCTTTAGCTGGCTTAGAGAAAGAAGTGGGAAGACGCTGCCCAGTAATCGAAAACACATGTAGCTGAAGGAAAACAGATATTTGGGTCAAAAGGAAATCAAAACTCCACAACAGAAATGTGGGACAAGTAAATAAGGTGTTCTGCACTGGTTCTGGAGCAAATGCCAGACTGAACATGCTCTAGAATGGGTACAGGGAAGGGATTGGGGAGGTGCATTCTTACTACACTGTGGAAGAGCTCAGAAGGGAGAGAGGAAGAAGGGCCAACCAGCTAGCTTAGGAGTCTACAAACTTAGCAACTTTAAGACCTGTGGACTTCAACTCCCAGAATTCCTCAACCAGCCATGAGGGCTGAGGAATTCTGGGAGCTGAAGTCCACAAGTCTTAAAAGTGCCAAGTTTGAAGACCCCTGAACTAGCTGGTAGTGGTGCATATTAATAAACATGGATAAATTCATCATACATTTGTCAGTGCAAAGAGAAAGTGATTCAGCAAAGGAACAGTCACCGAAGAAATTCAAACTGGTACTTTTTTACTTTTTTTCTATAATTTGTAATATTTTATTAGATTATAGAATAAAATACAAAAGCAAATAGTAGGACACAGTGAGGAGGAAAAGGGGGGGAAAGTGAGGGGGAGAAGGGAAAAAGAACAGACTTCCTCTGTTGCAGTAGAAGGAAGCATTACCATTGAACCTCAACTTTTTACTTTCCCATAATATTATAAACTAACCATTTCTATAACAACAAATGAATCTAATCAGTAAAACCCCAAATCCCCCCCTTTTTTTAGTCATCAAATTTTTGACACCTTGCTAAACATTATTGTCATGTCTTAAAAGTGGTACAATCTGTGAAAAGGTTGAAAAGCCCTGCTCCAGAAAACCACTGAAGCTACACGAGAAAATTTATGTACATTTTAAAAAGTATTCAGCAAATTCAAAAAGGTTTATTTCCAACTAAATATCTAAGGACTGTAATTTCAAAACTATAAAGTTAGATTCTGTTCCTGTCCTCTGGAACATTTCCTTGATGTCTACATGGCCCCCAATATGGTTGTACACTCATAAATCCATAAAGATCTCATTTTCATTTTTTAAGCAGGCCCTATAGCAAGGTGGTTAATCATCCCATTCTGTTACATATTTGATATGGTTTGTAATTGTTTGTTCTGTTCTCTTGACATGAATCATAGTAACATTATTTTTTGTTACTTGTTTCTCTTCTTTCTTCATATTTTATAAAACCCTTGAGTTACTATTGCAATTGAATCAATACCCATTTCATTGATAACATAAATGTTATTGTTAAAATAGGGGTATGAGCATGTGAATGAAGGCATGGAACTGTTAACATATTAATTTTTAGTACGTCTGATGCTGTAACATATGTACAGGCAGTCTTCAATCTATGACTGGTCATTTAGCAACTGTTCAAAGTTATGACCTATCTGAAAAAGGGAACTAATGACGTCAGGTGCTTGCCAACATGATTGCACTTATAGTTGTTTGCAGCATCCCACAGTCATGTGACCAAGTTTTCTAATGTTTTGCCAAAAACTGGCACTTTCGGCTCTTGACAAAACTGAGCCAGAATGAACAATAAGTTCGCTTAATGACTAAAGCAATTTTTGAAACTGCTGTTCAATTTTAAAATGCGTATGACCCAACCACTCTACAACCATTACAACTTACAACTGCAATGAGCAGGCTCCATTAAGTCTTAATTCAAGGACTACCTGTCATAATTACACACAGAATTTAAAAGAAAGAGTAACTCTAATTTCATACTTTATCTATGACTGTTTTTCACTCTTATGACCATTGCAGCATCCTCATGATCACATGTTCAAAATTCAGGCACTTGGCTCATATTTATGACGGTTGCAGTGTTCTGCGGTCATGTGATCACCTTTTGTGACCTTCTGACAAGCCAAGTCAATAGAGAAGCCAGATTCACTTAACAATTGTGTTACTAACTTAACAACTGCAGAGATTCACTTAACAACTGCGGCAAGAAACATCGTAAAACGGGACAAAACAGAAGTTTAGCAACAGAAATTTTAGGCTCAATTTTGGATGTAAGTTGAGGACTTACCTGTATTATGCCCATTCATTATGTTACTCAGAGACTCAGCATTCTCCAGGAGAAATAACCAAATGGGCAGAGATAATTTCAGGCTGAAAGATAATTTCAAGTTCTTTCAACATACCTGCAGGGTCCAACATTTTCTTTAAGTAGCCCATTTTCTACAGCTTCTTTCCAGAACAGTTCAAAAGTTCCTTCTTTCAACGCCACTTTTATCAGGTCCAGTCCTACAGCTGGAAGAACTTTGTCCTTCCTCTCTGATTTGGCTGCCATTTTCAAAACTTCCACAATCCTAATGAGGAAAACAACAGAATCTTCATTATTCTTTTTTGTTGTCATTGTTCCGAAGAAATCTATCTGCAGGACATGAGCAGGCCGAGCAGAGGGAGAGGTCAAATGCATAATCAGTCATGAGTCCCTTCATGCCCACAAAAGATCTAAGTCCAGCCCACCTTGAATTCCTTCTGCTGTTATCTACCGCAAATTTCCTTTAGCTGTTAGTAGTTCAGATACTTGTAGAGTGCTTAAGTTTGCGATAAATTTCTATACTCATTTGAACTGTCTGGATCTCCTAATCTCCCTGGTGCTTGACATTAATCTGAACTACTAACAGCCAAGGGAAATTAGTGGGAATTAAGCATAGAAGGAATTCAAGGTGGGTTGGACTTAGATCTCTTGTGGGCATCAAAGGACTCCTGACTGATGACACATTTGACCCCACCCTCGGGCTCAGCCTGGTCATCTCCTACACTATCTTCATTATTGCTGGGAAGAAGACCTAGCAAAACAATAAGGAAGAATTTAGAAAGCAGGCATCTGCTAAACAAAACCCCTGATTCAGCTAAGTGATTTACACACAGAGCCAAGTCAAAATGTATAAACCCAGTCAAATGTAGATTACTTAGGTAAACCACAGTTAAAGAAGCCATAACTTGCCACAATGTGCAAGCCCAATCAGAGATTACCAGAATTTTTTCCCAACACTGGAATATTTCTTGGGATAATTTAAACATAAAATATATGCTCTACTTCTCTCTTATTGCCCTTTTCCTGGAAACAAGTACAGTACAGGTAGTCTTTGCCTTACAACCACAATTGGGACTGGAATTTTGGTTGCTAAGAGAGAGGGCCATTAAGCAAATCATGTAACAACCCAATTTATGAGTTTTTTAAACCATATTTGTTAAGTGAATCATACAGTCAAGTGAATCACATGACTGTTAAGCCAATCTGACTTTCCCCATTGATTTTGCTTCTCAGAGGTCAGGCTGGGAAGGTCGTAAAACGGTAATCATATGACCCCAGGATTCTACAACTGGTCATACAGGTGAGCCAGTCGCCAAGTGCTCAAACTGCCAGATGTGACCACGATGCAACAGCTATAACGTCAAGGACAAGTCATAAGTCACTTTTTACATGCCCTTGTAAACTCTAAAGCGTTGTTAAATGAATGGCTGTTAGTTGAGGACTAACTGTACTGCAGTCCACTTCTAGTTAAAAAGTTACTTTCAATAGGAAGATGGGAATCTGCTATACATGGGGTGAGAGAGAAAGGGTTTTCCTGGAAACTTCATTAGTTTTACTGACCTGGGGATGTTTTGTGCCGTCACAACAGCAGTTGTGCCGAAGAGGGCCTTCAGCTTCTCTGGTCCGAGAACTTTGGGGAATTTTTGGATGCCCACCAACAGGAGGTACAATTGACCAGGAGTGCTGAAAGCTGCAGTAAGTTCATCCTCCAAGATATTGTAAAGCACCTTTTCAAATACAGTCTCTGGGATCTGGAAACAGCAATGCCCCAGGGAGAAAACATTGCAGTATGAACAATATATATCAGCAATTTGTTATCTATGTACAGTTATATTTTGCCTTTACATCAATGATGTTACGCAGTAGAAATCAGCTACTTCACTAGTCAGCAGTCACTGATGGGACAGGAGTAGGCTTTCAGTCCTAATAAAAAGAAGTACTAGGGGTGACATGATCGCAGCCTTCCAATATTTGAGGAGCTGCCATAAAGAAGAAGGGGTCAACCTATTCTCCAAAGCACCTGAAGGCAGGAGAAGAAGCAATGGATGGAAACTCTTCAATGAGAGAACCAACCTAGAACTAAGGAGAAATTTCCTGACAGTTAGAACAATTAATCGGTGGAACAACTTGCCTCCAGAAGTTGTGGGTGCTCCAACACTGGAGATTTTTAAGAAGAGATTGGACAACCATTTATGTGAAATGGTATAGGGTTTTCTGCTTTTCTGCTTTAGCAGGAGTTGGACTAGAAGATCTCCAAGGTCCCTTCCAAATCTGTTATTCTTGTCTATTAGCATCCTAGTAGTATAAGCTGGCAACTACAGTATGTGAAACAAAATGTTTAACTAAAATGGGTGTTGGTCTGATCCAGGAGGTTTTCAAAGTTAACAATGGCAAGACTAAAGGATCTCTTGCCAAGGATCATTAAAGGCAGGCAGATATATAAGATGAAAAACAGCCTTTTAAATATCCTGAGCTTAAACTGCATACAGTTTTGTGATCTGGAAGAACAAATTAAACTGTAACAAGGGAATCATGTATTCTTACATAACGATCAAGAGTCTGAACCTTTTTCTTCTATTGGTACCTCTCTCTCATTGGTGGCTAATGCCACAGCAGTTACAAAATTATTTGCCTTTATTTCTCAACATTGTAAATAGAAGCAGCAATGATGTGTGCATATAATTGGTCATTCTTCACCTTCTTTCCTTAAAAAGAGATGATTTACAAAAGCTAATACTTTTAACAAGTATTTTAACCCCTTTTTTGCAACCATCCTCAGTCTTCCTTACCTCAGAAACAATGTCAACTAATGTCTTTCTTGGGAGGTCCTTAAGATGGGTATAGTGTTCAGAAAGGTTCTGTAGAAGCTGGACGCACTCAAGGAGAGCCTTGGAATCCTAAAGAGATCAAAAATCAGGCTTTATAGTGTATCCTGTTGAACCTAGCCAACCCCAAGTCGTTTAGCAAATCATGATAACATCAGACAGGTCACTGGAAGGCAAAATCACAAAACTGCATCTCACTTACTTTGGCCATGTTACGCGGGGGAATTCAGTGGAGAAAGCAATTGTGTTTGGAATAGTTAGTGGTAAAAGAAAACCAGGCATCAAAGAACACGGTGGCTGGACACCACACCAGCCAGAGCATAGAAAAACTCAAAGAAGCAGTGCAAGAAGGGAAGATGTGGAGAGACCTGGAATAATTCTGTAACATTACCTTTGAGAGGCGCCTGGATTGGAAGAGAGCTAGCACTCCAAAAAAGTTTCCAAACAGAGCATTCCTGAAAAGTTTCTGAAATGACAGAAAGCCAGCACACCAGGAATATTGGTTACAAACATAGTCAGAAGTGTGATGAATTGGAAGGGGAGGGTCTGACATTTTAACACAGGTTAAGCCACAAATGCTTGGCAGCAGCTGACCTTAAGATAATGTCTATTCTAAAATGCTCAAATGCTTTAGCTGGAGTTTCTCCAAGAATCTCAACCTACTTCTGATCTTCAATATAAATTGTGGCTGCAAAATGTGGGGTTAAAAGTTAGTATTACAGGGATGCAGGCAGCACACGAAATCACGCCCTCTCCGGTCCAAAGAAAAACCTCTCTCCACGGAACCGGTCCCTGGTGCCCAAAAGGTTGGAGGCCGCTGCCTTAAGAACCCAGTTTGTTTCTTATTTTACACTTTCTGAAACACAAAATACTTATGCAGATATGTACAATTGCAACAAAAATTAACAGCAAGATTTGGCAGCCATACCTTAAACAAAGCAACCTTTTTCCTGGACTTCACAGATGATATAGTATCTCTAAAAATGCTGCATTTGGTTTAAGATGTTTCTGAGAGGTGTTACTTCTACTACTTTTTGTGGGTTGAATAAAGCAATACTTTAAAAGGGTAGGTTTCACTTTAAAACTTCTGAAAATAATGCCAGAGAATTTGCAACAAAAGGAGACAAATTATGGCAAGCCACACTGCACAGGGATACAACTATAGGAACAGAAGACTATAAACAGTGCTTGCTGGATTGGACCTTTGGCCCATGTTCTCCAGCAGTCTATTCTCGCAGTGGCCAACCAACTGCACAAGGAAGCCAGCTAGCCTCTCAGCAGATGGCCATCAGAGGCAGCATAATTTTCATCGAAACTAAGAGCCACTGATCTCCACAACCTCCATGAATTGGTACAACCCTTCAACTAGTGATTATTCTGTGGCCAATAAGCAAACTTAAGTCTTGTTAGATTAGATAATTGATTCCCCAAGTTTTGAGAGGGGGGATTCCTTAAAAAAACCCTTTTTTAAAAAAGCTTCGACAAATTTGGGCCTTCCCTCAGACTCTCTGTCAGGGCAGAGATAGGTTAAGTAGAATGGCCTGTCTCTGTATCTGTTTGTAGATGACTCACCCAACCTAAAATCTGAAGTGCTACGTCAGCCATTATTATTATTATTATTATTATTATTATTATTATTATTATTATTATTATTATTATTATTATTATTATTATTATTAATCATCGCACAGTCAGCCAGATATTCAGACTGGATTTGGCATTTTTGTCTACATATAAAGTCCTTACCAAGGACCTGGGATAGGCAGATGTGGATGTTTGATGGTATTACAGATATTGTCGCAGGATGGAAGCAGTTCCTAGTAAGGCCGCTTTTTGCAATTGACTAATGGCGAATTTGTCAATGCCAATGGTGTTCAAATGGTGCTCCAGTTGTTTTGGGATTGCACCCAAGGCACCTATTACTATTGGTACTACCCTTGCTTGCTTTTGCCACAGTCTTTATATTGTTGTTGTTGTTGTTGTTGTTGTTGTTGTTGTTGTTGTTGTTATTATTATTATTATTATTATTATTATTATTATTATTATTATTATTATTATTATTTTAGCCTTCACTAAGCCTCCTTGAGTTTTGATGAGTGGACATTTTTAAAAACTGAAATTATAAACAAATCAACATTCTCACCTTCTTCACTCTACCGAGATCATATTTTTCCTTAATCTGTTGCAGAACTGCCAAGAGAGTCAGCTCCTCAAAAACTTGCAATACCTTGGAAAGAAAAAACATAATGAGAGAAAGCTGCAGAACGTTCAAATAAGTTACAGGGCCAGTCTTGAAAGGGCAAGATATTTTTTGATTCCTACACTTGACCTGTGCCAAACCTGTGATTACATTTACAGTTCCCATCTTTTTTGGTAAAAAGAGTTCTTTTCTTCTAAAAGTTCTGTCTGAGCTCGCATATTACTAGATTACAGCAAGCAACCGGCTTGGTAACTTGTTAGCTAGTTGAGTGAGTCACGCTTGACTGAAAATGTCTCCAAGAACAGCAGAGATGACAACCACTGTGAAGAATAAAGAATTAACCTTTGGAGAAGGAGAGAATGGGAGATCCCCACAAGCACTCTGCATGACAGCTGCTCACAAGGGAACTATAAAACAGCTGGGTCCCATGGTGCTGAGCAGGGGTCTTCAAACTTGACTCTTTTATGACTTGTGGACTTCAACTCCCAGAATTCCTCAGCCAGCATGCCTGGCTGAGAAATTCTGGGAGTTGAAGTCCACAAGTCATAAAAGGGCCAAGTTTGAAGACCCCTGGTCTTGAGCACTAAAATCCAAGGGAGATGACATCTTTGCTTTAACAACAGTGGAGCCTTTTCATAAGGACACTATGCCAGCTGAATTCACTTTCTAATCAAATTTGAAAAAGTTCAATTGAACTTTTTTATGGCTATTAGAGACGTTCAAAAGAAGAAGCTTAATTTGACACCTAATGAGCTTTATCTTATTTGGATTTAAGGAATTTTAAACAGATACTAAAGAGTTTAATATACAATTGGCAAAAAGGAAAAAAAAAGATTTTAAGGAAGTTTCAAATGATCTGGGAGATCAGAGAGATTTGGAATATTGGTTATTTGTGCTGTAGGATATGAAAAAAACAAGTATATAATTTAGTAATTATATACATATGTAGGAAATGACTGAAATGGAACTGTAAACCCATATTAGAAACTGAGGCTTGATGAAGTTTGCAAATGGACACTAGAGGGAACTAAAGGACCAAGCAACAAAACAGTTAGAATTGCTAAGGTTAGTTGTAATTTTTACTTGTCTCAAAGAACCCTTTAAAAATGGACTAAGATATTAATAACTAATATCTCAGAAATGATACAAATTTCAATGGGTAAACATCCGATGAGAAAAAAATTTAAAAATAACTTTTAGACACAGATAGAAGACAGCAAAACTGAGATTATCAGAACGGGAATACAAAAGACAACATCAAGAAAATTATATGGACATGGAATAGCTATGACAAGAAATCCTGGATGATGCCTTTCTATAGGATTTACAAAGTAGACCGGTGAAAACTCTGAAGACTGTTTCTGGATGTCAATGATTGATGACAGATCAAATCCTACGATGCCACTGAAATGATTTAAAGGTCTAAACTGTGAAGAGCAAAAAGAATGAATATAAAGTTGGATTATTTGATCAGGGATAAACGATCTGTTTGATATTTCTGATAACTCATAATGGACTTTTTGCTGAAAGAGGACTGGAAAGATGACAATTTGTGGACTGTGTCTATGAGGTGAGGTTATGGAAAGAAGAGGATTTGTAATTTTAAAAGAGGTTGAAAAGTTACTGTAGTAGCTTATGCTTGATGTGATGAAGGTTGAACCCTATTTATTATTCTTTTTGTTTCTTGTTCATTTTCTCTTTTGTTTTTCTTTTCCCTGTACCTTTTGAGCTTTTCTTTTTCCTTCTAGTTTAGTTTATATTAGCTTTTACCATCTTTACTAAAAAATGTCAATGATATTTAATGTGTGTGTGTGTGTGTGTATTTTCTTCATCAAGGGACACCAACCTGCGCCAACGCCAAACTGAATCCTGGACGGGCCACTTCTCGAGTTGCTCCCAATCCGTCAATCAAGCGCTTTAAGGTATACTTTAAAAACTCATCATCCTAAAAGAAATTACAAAGATATCCAAGGTGAATGAGGTGGGAATGATTACCAACTTGCATCCTACAAACTTCTGTGTTACCCTTTAATCTTAACATCTACCATTTATATTTTATTATCATTATTGTTTGTAGCAATTGTGTTGAATATTTTAAATAAAAAAAGGATATAAACTCTGAAATCAAGAAATACTATTTTATTTTTATTATGACTTGATGGAGTCACGCTTTGGCAGCAAAGTAAACAAGAGTAGATGACACAGCAAATTCCAATATTATATTGCAGTAGAAGTTCTACAGATTGAAGTTATTTTAATGATACAGAATAAATTGGCACATAAACTGGGTTTACAGACCATGCAACACCATAACAGTTTTTTTGGCTTTTAATGTTACAGCTCATCCAATAAATCACTATTAGGGAAACCACGCAGGAGGAAGATTTATGTAAAAGATGAAAAGATTCTATTTTAATACCAAAAACAAGTTTTACAAATGCTGCATTGCAGTGGCTTAGTTTGCCACTGCTTCTTCCCAGTAATGTTTGCAAAATATGGGTAGAAACGAAAGACCTTGAGAAAAAATTAAGTTACGTTTTTTTTTAATCACATCATAACCCTTTCTTTATTCTTTTCAATACAGTGGAGTGTTAGAAATAAATTATGTAAACAGGGTCAGGACTCCAACTGTTTTTCTGTCAGTGCAATAACTCCAAAAATTGAACAGAACAGACCAATTGTGGCAAGAGTTGGAGACAAAAACTTTAACAAAGAAAATGGGCTGAATCTGGCTAGGGAATGTCAAGAAACGCATTCTATAAGAATCTCCACAGACATTCTATAAAAAAATTCCCCAATGCAGCCTTATGGGAAAGGTAATTAGGCAGTGGCTCAGTTACAGTACCTCCACTTTAAGTCCCCCTCCCCCCCCTACTCAGAGCAGATCTTATGTAGCCCACCCAGTACTTCCTTGTACATATAAATATACAAACACAAATATGTGTAACCAGTGCTTTTTTTGTAAAAAAAAAAAAAAAAAAAAAAAAGGTGCCGGAACTCACACACATCATACAACCCGCCTTGCCTACCCTACAAGGTTCCATCCCAAAAAGGTGCCGGAACTGCGTTCTGGGCGTTCTATGACAAAAAAAGCCCTGGGTGTAACACAAGGAGGCAGTGCACACATGCATACACACACACACACACACACACACACACACACACACAAAGGCAACACATTACTTTGTTACACAGAAGAAAACAGAAAATTCTTATTGTCGCTACTAGTACAGGTAGTCCTCAACTTATAACCATTTGTTTTAGTGAGCATTTGAAAAAGTGACTTATGACCAATTTTTACATTTATGACCACTGCAGCATCCCTATGGTCACATGATCAAAATTCGGCCATTTAGCAACCGACATGTATTTATGACAGTTGCAGAGTCCCCGGGATTATGTGATCCCCATTTGTAACCTTCCCAGTCAGCTTCCGACAAGCAAAGTCAATGGGGGAAAGCAGATTTGCTTAATGACCACATGATTCACTTAACAACTGCAATGACTTGCTTAACAACTGTGGCAAAAAGGTCATAAAATGGGGCAAAACTCAACATCTGCCTTGCTTTGCAACAAAAATTTTGGGTTCAGTTGGGATCATAAATTGAGGATTACCTATAAACGGTTTAGAAAGAAAGAAAGGTGGTAGACACAACCTTTTTAAAAGCCAGCATTAGAAAATTAAAGATAAATGAAAAATTAAAAAAAAATGAAGACCAGCAAAAAGAGAAATAGAAAAAAAAAACCATGTATAACTTGTGAATGCAGAATTGCTAACACAGACTTAATTGAACAGTTATAGAGATTAATTACCAATATCTAATATATTTATCCAAAATGACATTGTGTATAAAGGAAGCAATATACCAAGAAAAAAGCATATTATCACAACTAATATATGATGTCTGAATTTGACTAAACTTAATATTTATTATGGGATTTTTCATGCTTTTTTTGCTGGTTGAACTCTTGTGCCAAAACAATTTCACACATTTTAAAATATCCTTGATCTAGTGACAACTTATGCAAACAAATCTGACTGCTAATAAGGGAGCCTGAATCTATGTTTTAACTGATGTAGGATATAAAGATAATAATCCTACTGTGGGATTCGTCTTTAACAGTTTTTTTGAACTTCATCAAAAACTTTTGATCAAAAACTAATTGGGTACTGCAACCAAAGATAAAACAAATTCCATTTCATTTATACCCTTCCCAACCCAATTTAGATGGTTTGCATTTTTAAAGAAGTACTGCAATCCCAAAATGAATTATTGTTGTTGTCATTTCTAGATAACACACTGAAATGGATTAAAGGGAATTTATATGCTATAAAGTGTTTCAGAGAGATTCACTGTACAAAACCAAATTCTGTTCACAATATTCTTAAAAGCTTTCTAAAGAGTCTTTTGTAACTGATACGAATGCATTTATATGATGTGGATGAGATTCTTTATTATTAAACAAATTAGAGACGCACCATTTCTCCAACACTTTTAATGAGCTGAGATGAACAGATCACCTATATGATTCTTTAAAAAGCATAATATTGGGTTTAGTTGAAAAGGAGTTGGAACTTTTTTTCTATTCCTTTATCATAACTTAATTACTAATATAATTATAGAGAATAATCAATGCTAAATACAATAAAGTTCAGGGCTGATAACTTTATTCTCTGTAACTCTTCTATCTTCCATTCCTTAAACTGAGCAAACTTATTCTCATACCTGAATGGTGGATGGCATGCAGATTACAGACCAACCATATTTCCATCTTACTGAAATTTCTAAGGACAATTTAAAATATCGGTTCATAAAACTTTTTTTAAACCTCCAAATGAAATTATATAGCTCAGACTGAAGGAGAATTAAGTACCAGTTCAACTAATACATGTAGTCCTTGCCTTACAATAATTCATTTAGGCTCCGTTTGAAGTTACAACAGCACTGGAAAAAGTGACCTATGACTGTTTTTCTCACTTAATGACCATTGCAGCCTTCCCATGGTCACGTGATCAAAATTCGGATGTTTGGCAACTAAACTCATATTTATGATGATTGCAGTGTCTCTGAGCATGTAATCATTTTTTGAGACCTTTTGACAAGCAAAGTCAATGGGGGAAGCTAGATTCACTTACCAACCATGTTACTAACTTAAGAACTGCAGTGATTCATTTAACAACTATGGCAAAAAAGTCATAAAATGGGGCAAAACTCACTTAACAAATGTTTCACTTAGCAACAAAAATTTTGGGCTCAACTGGGGTCATTAAGTCAAGGACTACCTGTACCACAGCCCATTTTTAATCTTCCTGATCACATGAATTATTTGAATTGAAACAAATCTTAAAAGACTTTTTTTCTGATATTGCTAAAGGTTTTTGATTTTGTTTATACTGGGCAGCTTATCTGATTCTAAGATTGATATAAGGATGCACTGAAGATGACAATGTTCCTTATATTTTACTAAACCAAGCAGTGGGCACTGAACCTAAAAGAGTTTGAAAAAGAAACCTTTTGGAAGGATGATTTCCCCATTAGATCCATGACAACCATGCAAAAGGAGAAATTCCATATACTGGTAGTTGCTTCAAAGCAAGATGGGTGGCAATATAAATTTGATAGACCGACAGACAGGCATACCAGACTAGCAGTAGGAAAAAAATTCCAAATATTAATCTAGTCTCCACCAGGAGTGTTCCCTGGATTGGTTTATGTCAGGCCCTCTCAAGCCAAGATCTGACCTGGGGCAATGGTGAAGGTGCTGGACAGGAGTAGGGAGAGCCAGGTTGTAGCCCACCCTCAGCCACTGTAGTTCCCAGGGTGGCTTGGGGCCATTTGCATTCTCTTAGCCCATCTACCTCACAGGGTTGCTGTTGTGGGGACAAACAGAAGGGAGTGGTATTTGTGAGCAAGATGGGTGGACTACTATAGTGGCGGAGGGGACCATTGGAAGAATTGAAAGAACAAGTTATGATCGTGTATGTCAACCTTGGTACCTTTAAAGTATTTGGACTTCAACTCCCAGAACTCTCCAGGCAGCTGGAAGTTGGAAGTCCAAATATCCTAAAGTTGCCAAAGCTGACAAACACTGCCTCAGGGATAGATCCTTATGGAGCAGTGTTTCTCAACCTTGACAATTTTAAGGCATGTGGACTTCAACTCCCAGAATTCCACAGCCAGCAATGCTAGCTGTGGAATTCTGGGAGTTGAAGTCCACATGCCTTAAAATTGTCAAGGTTGAGAAACACTGTTATGGAGAAAATCTTATCCATGTGATCATTAGGAATCGCCTATTATTTGATGGCATATCATCAATCAATCAGCTACGACGTGCTACTCTTTGCGCTCCTGTACAAAAGTTACGATATTAAGCTAACAAAATAGATCGTTTCTTCTGACGCTCCCTGCCATTTTTCCATTTCCGGCAACTCTTTTCTTAGAACATCCGAAAGCCGACACAAACAACCGTGCTTCTGAGCGCGTCCAAAGTGCAACCTAAAAGGTTACAGATCTCAGACCTAAAGATCGTAGGGAAAAGTCTAACTCTAAGCGACTCCGGAGGAGGAGTGAAGCTCTCCCTTTCAACCGCCCGCACTCCCCACGAGCAACTGCAATGCCTTACTTTCTTATTTTCCTGCAAATAGTTCAGCAGCCCTTCCGTGGCCTTCAAACGGATCGCCTGGTCGGGCTTGGCGATGTCCCAGAAATAGTCCAGAAACTGCCGACTCTGCCCTAGGAGCCTGCCCGGCTGCGAGATCGAGGCCGGAGCTAGGCGATCTGCCGCTTGCCCGTTCTTCGGGCTGCAATCACCAGCCATGCTGGTAACAGAGGCGCACGTGGAAAAGCCCCCGTGATGCACCAGAGGAAGCACGTGAAAACCTCCCCTTCCGGGTTCAGAAAAGGCTCGCTCCCGCCTTCCCACGTAGTAAAAATTCTCCCTTGGAGGCGAGATTGGCATCAACGAGACTGATCTTTGGCCACTCTTTCACCCTTCCCCAAATCCATATCCTCAAGATGCTGGGAACTCCAACTCCTATGGTCCTCAACCGGTGGTTATTTCCAGAAACGGACTTTCAGCGGTTCTAGCTCAGTGTTTTTAAGTTGTGTGGACTTCAACTCCCAGAATTCCCCAGCCAATGGGAATTGAAGTCCACACATCTTAAAGTCTTCAGACTTGGCCCTTTTATCACTTGTGGACTTCAACTCCCAGAATTCCTCAGCCAGCGTGCCTGGCTGAGGAATTCTGGGAGTTGAGGTCCACAAGTCAAAAGGGCCAAGTTTGAAGATCCCTGTCTTAAAGGCTGTTGAAAAAGAGACATGGTGGATTAAGGGAATGGACAGATCCCTAGGGCCAGCTAAAAAAAACCTTGGCTGCTTTTGGTTGTAGTGGCTGTATTTACAAGACACAAAGAATGACCTTTCTCTTTCTGTTAGCTCACTATGGATGAATAAATGCTTGAAATTATTATGATTGTTTGCCTAGACAGCTAGATGTTTAGACTGGATGTGGCATTTTTATTCACCTGTGGGGTTCCTGGTGCTCTGAGCTTGGTTGTTTCCTTGCAGATATTTCATTATCCGACTAGGTAACATCCTGAAGGGTGATGTTTTTGTCAATGTTGATGATATTCAAGTTGTGCTCCAGATGTTTTGGGATTGCACCAAGGGCTCTTATTGATATTATTGGTACTATATTTGTTTTATTTTGCCACATTTTACTTGCAGGTCTTTTTGTGATTTTCTCCAGATTATTATTATGGTTCATTGTCCCCAAAAGTAAGGTTCTACATTAGGCAAGAAAAAGAAAAAGCACAGGTACAGTATAGGTGGTACCTTGCTCAATAATAATAACTGTGAGAGGGATCTCAGAGTCCTAGTGGACAATCACCTAAATATGAGCCAGCAGTGTGCTGCAGCTGCCAAAAAAGCCAACACAGTGCTAGGCTGCATTAACAGAGGGATAGAATCAAGATCACGTGAAGTGTTAATTCCACTTTACAATGCCTTGGTAAGGCCACACTTGGAATACTGTATCCAGTTTTGGTCACCATGATGTAAAAAAGATGTTGAGACTCTAGAAAAAGTACAGAGAAGAGCAACAAAGATGATTAGGGGACTGGAGGCTAAAACATATATAAAGAACGGTTGCTGGAATTGGGTATGTCTAGTTTAATGAAGAGAAGGATTAGGGGTGACATGATAGCAGTGTTCCAATATTTCAGGGGTTGCCACAAAGAAGAGGGAATCAAGCTATTCTCCAAAAGACCTATAACTAAGGAGAAATTTCCTGACAGAACAATTAATCGATGGAACAGCCTGCCTCCAGAAGTTTGTGAATGATCCAACACTGGAAGTTTTTAAGAAGAGACTGGACAGCCATTTGTCTGAAATGGTATAGGGTTTCCTGCCTGAGCAGGGAGTTAGACTAGAAGACCTCCAAGGTACCTTCGAACTCTATTATTATTATTATTATTATTATTATTATTATTATTATTATTATTATTATTATTATTATTATTATTATTATTATTATATTCATTAAATATGAACCTGTCAACTGAACATTCAAATTGGCGCACGCTGATGGTTGACACGGGTTGCTACCAGCATCCTAGTTGTCAACCAGATACCTCCTTAAAATATAAGATGTTCCAAGTAGCGCAGTTTTTTGTAACATTGCTGGAGTTATTGCAGGAAGCTGCAGTTTCTTGATATATTTTGCAAAGTTTTTGGACATAGTTCCCAGTGCCCCGATGGCAATGGGTATCACTGTTACACGTTTCATCCATAATCGCGCAGTTTCGATGGTGATTATATTATTATTATTATTATTATTATTATTATTATTATTATTATTATTACTATTACTATTATTATTACTATTATTGTTGTTGATGATGCTTTTCAAAAGGCAACTGGACTTTCTTGGGGTTTTTTTCTTGAAAAGGTTTCACTTCTTATCCAAGAAGCTGATGTCAATGCTGTGACAATGGATGTTTCCACTCTGACAACTAATGGAAGTTGCAGCCATTTTTATTTGCTTTTCTGTTGCTTCTCTGCTGTTTAGAAGTTAGATGTAGAGGGGCGGAATGGGGTGAATGCTTGAGCTCAGCTAGCCATAACAATAATGCAGCTTGGTGGGAACTGAAGGACACAAACCTGATAGTGTTTTGGCAGGCTGAGGAGTTGGATGAGATCCCGAGCTTCTTGCTAATTGGGAAATGTGATTTATGACTGCCTTACAGGGGTGGGAATTGCAACTTGTTACTATGTATCTGGGGGAAGGGAATTTAGTTTTGGGCTCAACTATGTAGTGCCGATACTTTGTTTCCTGAATAAAATGTTCTTTAAGAAAGAATTCTTGCCTTGAAGTTCTTTAATGGGTTTCATCTATCGAAATCATGACATTAACCCAAAACTCTAACCTTCTACTTTAACCATCTTGGGGTCCTGAGCTCCAGTCACCTTCCCGAAGTCAAGGGGTAGGCTGACAAAGACTTAGGGAAGATCTCAGCATGGAGAAGGAAGAAGCACCTGCAACCAGCACCCCGGCTGTGGCTGCTGCCTCAGCGGAGGGACCGCAAGCCATCGCACCAGCAGAAAAAGGAAGTTTGGAAGCCTTACAGTTGGGAGCGAGACCAAAGACGTGGGAGCTGATCTGGACCTCGGAGTGGACCCTGCCCAGTGGAGACTCCAAGCATCTTGGGGCAACCCTGGTGAAGGTGAGCTCTACGAAAGTGTCTGAGGTCAACCTGCAAGCAGGGGCTTCTCGAGAATCACGCTCCCTGAGCCGTCAGGGAACCAAGAAGTTGGCAACTACTGAGGACTCTGGGGAGTGGAAGAGCCTGTCTGCAGTCCATAGCCAATTGGTAGAGATGTTAGTGAAGATGTTTGAGGAGCTGGAGGTAAGGAGCAGGGAACAACTCTCCCACTCCTCGCATGCAAGTGAGCACGACGATCGGCGGGATCGACACCAATCAATGCCCAAGAGAAGCGCTAGCCCCACCAAAGGAGTGCGACCGGCTTCCCCGCATTCAAAATCACCAGCGTTAATCTCCAGCCCGGTGAGCAAGAAGACTCCCAACTGCCATTCAGACCATGGCAGTCCAGATCGTTGCCGCTCAAGAACCCCGGAGTGCCGCTCGCGGCACAAGAGCCCCAGCCACCAGAAGAGCCCTGATCAGCGTTGCTCGTCGCGATCTCCAGAGAGGCATCGCTGTCATGATAGCTCCAGCTGGCGAGACTATGATGACAGCCGGAAAAACGCTCGCGCTACCGGAGCCCGAGTCACCACCGCTACCGTTGAAGCTCTGACCATTACTATGATCGGTCATACAGTCCTGAGCACTACTGTCGGCGCTGCCCGAGCCCAAGGGAGGACCCGAATGTGGGCATTCAACACGATCTGATTCAGCAGCTGCACAACTTGTTGGACAGGTAATGACAGGTGGGGGCACAGCAGCCGCAGGGGGACCTGCAGCAGCTGGGGATGCCACAACCATTGCTGGGAGGCCAACAACCGCTGGGAGGGATGCAGCACCTGGGGGTGCCACCGCCACCGCTGGGAGGCCAATAACTGCTGGGGGGCCTGCAGCAGTTGGGGATGCCACAGCCACTGCTGGGAGGCCAACAGTCGCTGGGGGTGCAGTAGCCGTCTCTGGGAGGTCAACAGCCCCTAGGAGTGCAGCAGCAATGGGGGGGCAGCAGCCCATGATGGCACCACCCTTTAAAGCAACTTTTGATGGCGATCCGGAGAAGTTGATTTTCTTCCTTAATCAAGTACATTCCCACATGAAAATAGGAAACTTTAAACTAAACAGCGGGGACAGTGAGTTATAGGGCTATCAGTGCATGTAGCATAGATGTGTGTGTGGACAAGAATACCAACCTTGCTGTCAAGCAAAATGAAGCCTCTAATAGCGAATGCCACACAAAGTGCACTAGCCAAATAGGTGGTAAGACAATAGGGGAACTCAGGCACCACACAGTTTATGTAGAAAGTAAACACAGGGCCAGTCACAGAGGACTCAAATGTCTATACACCAATGCACAGAGTATGAACAGCAAACAGGGTGAACTAGAAATTCAGGTTAATGAGGGCAAATATGATATTGTTGCCATTACAGAAACATGGTGGGATGAAACCCACACATGGAACACACAGCTAGAGGGATTTAAATTATTTTAAAGAAACGGATCAAATAAAAGAGGAGGTGGAGTTGCTCTCTATATAAGAAATAACTACATATCTACAGAAATAGAGCACAACAATGATAAAAACTGTCTTGAATGCATTTTGGTCAATATAAATGGGGGGGGGAAATGACATTGCCATAGGTGTATACTACAGACCACCCAACCAAACAGAGGAAATAGATGAACTTTTTGCTAGTCAGCTAACTAAGGTATGTAGCAAGCACATCACAATAGTAATGGGGGACTTTAACTACCCTGACATCAACTGGGAGACAAACTCTGCACCAAGTGGAAGATCAAACAGGTTCCTGGCAAACCTAGCAGACAACTTTGTCTCCCAAAAAGTAGAGAATGGAACTAGGGGATTAGCCATTTTAGATCTAATTCTCACTAACAGAGATGAAATGATAGAAGGTGTTGAAGCCATAGGAACCCTGGGAGGAAGTGATCATGCAATATTAGAATTCAACATTATGGAAGCACAAGCAATAGAACACAGTCAAACTAGAGTCTTGGACTTCAAGAGAGCTAATTTCAATAAATTTAGAGAGGGCTTGGGAAGGATTCCATGGATGAGAATCCTCAAGGGGAAAACAACTCAAGAAGCTTGGAAAATTTTGAAAAATAAGATAATAAAAGCACAGTCTAGC